CCGATATATCACCGATATATCACCGATATAACCGATATATCGAATATCGGTCTTGACCGATATTTCGTATTCTGACCGATATAACAGCATAGGTCTACAAACCCCAATTGATATCCTAAAGAAATCATTTCCACTATTTCAAGCCTACTCTCTTTCACCTGAAGTCTTTGGATGTACAACCTCCGTCCATTTGCGTGACCTATATCAGTCCAAACTTGATCCCGTGCAGACAAATGTGTTTTTATTGACATAAAGGATTCAATTGTTTCTCACCTACCTTACGACGAATCTTTATCCCTAAAGCGTCACCCTTTTTTTGAATCTGGGTCCTATTCCTAGGCCTCATCCTCAGGGGGAGACTCTAAATGAAGATGAGTCCTTAAATGGTCTCCTCGACCTTGAAGGTGCTGAAAATGGGGAAATCCAACATGATACTCTAATAGTTCTCATCCCAAAAAATCCGTTTGTAGAACCACCACCAAACACCACACAAGTCCCCGAATTGGATGGACCTGATTTGCTTGTTTATTCGAGACATCACTCTACTGGAATGGATAAATCAAAGACTTTGGATTGCCAAGAAGTTGTTACTGAAAACTGTTCTGAAAATGAACAACCATCAGTTGTTGTCCCGGACACCACAGGTCATGAAAAGCTCCCAATTGTTCTTCGAAAGGGAGTCCGATCATGTATAAAGCACCCCATTTCCAATTTTTTGTCCAATGAGAAGTAGTCTACTACTAGGGCATTCGTCACTCATTTGGATCAGGTTGAAACTCCAAAAAACACAAACGAAGCTCTTCAATCCTCTAAACGGAAGAGTGCAGTCTTGGAAGAATTAACAGCCTTAAAGAATAATGGAACATGGGAACTTAGTGACCTTCCAACAGGGAAGAAGATTGTGGGATGCAAATGGTTGTTCACCACCAAGTACAACAGTGATGGCAGCATAAACAGGTACAAGGCAAGACTTGTAGCTAAAGGCCACACTCAAATTTTTGGCATTGACTATCAAGAGACTTTTGCCCCTGTTGCAAAACTTAAATACTATTCGAGTTTTACTCTCCTTGGTAGCTAACCTCGATTGGCCTCTCATGCAATTGGATGTTAAAAATGCGCCCTAAATGGTTAACTCAATGAGAAAGTTTATATGGATTTTCCCCTGGTTTTGAAAACCTCGAAGGAAAGGTGTGCAGATTGAAAAAGTCACTTTACGGGCTAAAATAATCACCGAGGGTGTTGTTTAGCCGATTCACTCATGCGGTAACAAGTAGGATACAATCAAGGACAAGCAGATCACATTGTATTTTTCAAGCACTCAGAAAATGGTAAGATCTCAATTCTTATCGTATAAGTTGATGACATAATCATGACAGAAGACGACTTGGAGGAAATCAACCAACTAAAAACCTACCTCAGCTCGAAGTTCGAAATGGAAGACCTTGGTCCACTCAAATACTGCCTAGGAATGAAGGTTGCAAGAAGCCAAGAAGGGATCTCCATTTCACAAAGGAAGTATGTCTTCGATTTACTCAGGAATGATAGGATGTAAACTTTCGAGCACCCCAATGGAACCCAATAAACTAAGAGCTGAGGAAGATGTCCCGGAGGTTGACAAAGAGATATATCAAAGACTCGTAGGAAAACTCATCTCTCTCTCTCACACAAGGCCTGATATCACTTTTGCTGTGAGTGTTATCAGCTAATTTATGCACAATCCAAAGGAGAGACACATGACAACAACCTAGAGTATTCAGGTACTTAAAAGGGACCCCTGGAAAAGACTGCACTTTAAGAAAGGAGATAACAGGTTTATTGAAGTATTCACATATGCTGACTAGGCAAGAGCTGCCACCGACGGACGCTCTACCAGCGGATATTGCTCTTGCGTATGGGGGAATCTTGTGACATGAGTAGTAAAAAACAACCTGTTGTGTCTGGAAGCACTGCTGAGTCAGAGTTCAGAGTTCAGAGCAGTGGCACAAGGTATATGTGAAGGAATATGGGTACATTGGCTAATGGAGGAGCTGCGTGTACCGTTCAAATCCCCTATGAAGTTGTACTGTGATAATAAAGCAGCGGTAAGCATAACTCTCAACTTTGTTCACCATGACTGAACTAAACACATGGAAGTAGATCGAGATTTCATCAAAGAAAAGATCAACTCCGAAGGGTTTGCATGACTTAATTACCCACAACACAGCAAGTAGCCGACATACTGATAGAAGGCCTTACAAGGAGATTATTCGAAGATCTTACTTGCAAGCTTGGCATGACTGATATATACACGCCAGCTTAAGGGGGTGTTGGAATATTTAGGATTATCGATCCTAGTCTTTAGGATGTTTGTTAGCCATGATAATCCAAAAGTTTGTTCCCTAAGTTGTAGGATTAGTTTGTTGTATCATAACCTTATAAATACTGTATTTTCCTATATCGAAATAGACAGAAATCCTTTCTCTCCATGAATTGTTATACAAAGACTATAATGGTTCAACTATGAAATTGTTTACCTATGACCTATGAAATATGCAAACTATAATGGTTCACCTATGAAATTTGAAATATGCAAAGACTGTAAATAGAATATGTGAAGACTAATGGTTTACCTACGAAATATACAAAAAAATCATATATGAAATATGCAAAGACTGTAAATAAAATATGCAAAGACGGTAATGGTTCACTTACGAAATATGCAAAAATTTCATGTATAAAATTTAAAAAATAGAATAACAACCATTACAAATTTGCCAAAAGAAATTTTCAAATTGATAATTATTAAACACAATTAAGGAGATTGCTATATAAATCACTCAATATTTAATAAAATAGAATATTTGTCCAAAATATCTCAAAAAAAAAAAAAGATAATTACCATTTAGATTTAGATTGCATATAATTAGGGATTTGATTAGGTAACTGCCTATGATTGAAGAAAAAAAGCAATTTTTCTTAACCAACGTAAAAGACATAAATAACCCTTATCCTATCTAATTCTCATGGAACAAATAGTGTTGAAAACAAGATGGAAAGCTAGGATTAGTTTGCAAAGTTTGTACTAATTGGTTGGTTAACAAAAGGTGGGTCTATATATATTTATATGAATAATATATTATAATATATGTTTTTAATTTTTATATAATTTAAAATAAATAATGTAATAAACGAGGGATCATGTGAGAATAGGAGTTAAGATGAGAAGCATAAGAAGGGATCTAGACCCTATTGAGGATAATTTCTACAATACAATGCACAAAAGTCCCAATACAAATACCAAAATGTGCAAAGATGCAACCCAACAACCGAAACGGAATATGAGGATCCTAAATATGTTCAAATGTACTAACAAGTAGAAAATGCAATCCAAATGAATACTCAAACAATGTAAATGCAACAAACACAAAGAAGGAAATGATTTAATGTGGTTCCACTATCGTGAGATAGTGTACATCCACCGGGGAGAGATGGACCTTTTATATATTGATGAACCAAATTGAGGAGCGTACCTTTAAGCAAAGATCCTACAATCTCAAGGTAAAAACTCACCAAAATGACTTGCACTCAAGCCAAAATCACCCTGGTCAAGAGTTGTGCCAAGAACATGCTAAAACCTCAAAAAGAACGGCTTAAGTATGCCAAAACAGGAGCTCTTGCGACCTTGCCCGTGACCTAAGTCACGGTGTAAGTTGTCCGTGTCAATCAGAAGCAGCAGCAGCAAAACAGTAGATCCCATGACCCAAGCCGTGACCCTAGGTTGCGCTCGTCAGGTTTGTGCTGAAAACAGACCGTTTTAGATGGGGGGCGGGCCGTATCAATATTTCAACAGACCCTTGATCACTTTTAATCTCACCCCACCGCATGAATTGCGCTTGATACGGGAATTGATCAGGTGCATCTCACACATGTTGAACTTCAATTAGGATTGACCCAAAGGTGGAGATCCCTTCTTACCCTTCTCACTATAACTTCCATTTTCACCGGAACCCAACCCAACCCAAACCAACCCAACCCAACCCAACCCAACCCAACCCAACCTAAATATAATATATATTTTATTTGTTTAAATTGGAAAGGACCAAATTACCCCACTTAACTGATGAGAGTTAACAACTATTAGGGGCAGGGACCAAAACGTTACGAAGACGCAAACTCTAGGGGATATTTTGGTATTAAAAACTCTGGGGACCAATTCAAAAACAAACTTAAAACCACAGGGACCAAATCCGTAATTTAATCTATAATAGAATTTCCTTTTTAGGAGAGAATGAAAGAAAATAGTAAATTGATCAAAATGCCGCTCATTTAACTTGACTTAACAGAAAGTTATAATGCCCTTCAATCCTTCAGTTTGAAGGACCAAAAACCAGTCCATTTTGCATATGTCAAGGACACATTTGTAACAAATGAAGATTAGAGACCAGTTTTGTTAAAACTGACCTAGTTCAGGGACCATATCCGAAATATACTCCTACATTTATACTTAATGGTACAATGCTAGAATGAAACCAATAAAGGTCTTTTGAGTTAACAATAAGAGCACTGAAATTCACAACTATGGTTATAAACCACTGACCACCTTAGAGCTCTCTACTATATTAGAGAGACCCATCTATCAACTGCCTGTATCACTCTATCTCTTCCTTCATCTGCCGATCGTCAAGCATATTACATCCTACCATATTCTGCTTGATGTCTAGTAGCCAAATAGTTTGTAGCCGGGAGGAATTTTGCATTTATAAATGGACAACTGCGAGACATCTAAATTATTGTTCTTATAGTGCAGTTCTTTATGCCTTTTTTGGGTTGCGGTTGCTCTATATTGCTTGGAGATCAGATTCAAAAGCATCGCAGAAGAAGGAGATGGAAGAAGTACGTTTTTTATTTGTGTGTGCTCAGAACAACATAAAATCATCCATTAACAGATGGTCACATAAATGATTGCTCTTTTTTACTTAGAACTTAGTCACACTTACTGAAGTTAGTCATTGAGCATCATGACAACTGTTTTTTAATTTTGCAGTTCATAATGATCTCTCTAGTTTCTTGAGTTGTAACTAACTGCTATTTTAGTTTCTTGTAATCTTGTAAATAACTTCAATCTTGATTCAACCATTTATGATCCTAGGTTTCAAGTCATGATCGAAAGATATGCATGATACTTGCTTATAATTTTTTTGTTTGAATAAATTATAACATCCCACATTCAGGTTTTTCTTGTTGAATTTGTTCACATTCTTTGGTCCTTGCAGATAATGTGCAGTCATTTCAAAACATAAACCCCAGATCACTTATAAAAGCACCAGCAACGATACCCATAGTTTTTTGACACATTTTTGGGGTTAGCAAATATGAAATAAGGATTTTGTATGCATTTTGCTTGGTCCACGAGATCCCTGGAACTGCTAGCCCCTCAACCCTCATTGACACCGATAACTGAAAGAAAAATGAAGATATACAACAAAGGAATATGAGGCTTATATGGCTTAATTTTGACCCATTAACACTGGGAGAAACCAAAGAACAACTCCTTCAGATGTGAATCAATTGTTCACCTTTTAAATTAGTATTCACTTTTAAATTTTATTCGATACAATCTGATTGCATGTTTCATGTGGCACCAAAGGCACGTGCTTTAATCTTTCAATCAGTGTGGTCAAATGTTATGAAAAGAACGTGTAGTGTTTGTTAAGTGTCTGGCTGGGTGCGTTCTCATCTTATATGAAAGGGATAATTTATCTCATTTGGCGATTCCATTTTTTTGCAACCTATTGAACAAGAGTTATGCACTTTGTGGGGGCAGAGTTCTGGTTGCATGAAATGGGCTTAGATTTCATTTATTGTACTGCAATCAAGTTACTTAGTGTCATGCAAGTTCTTCTTACTGTTTCTTTTATCAGCTATAGTTTTCATGGAAGTTTATTATTCTGTTCTTTTCTCCCTTTAATATGTGAACATTGTTTCATCATTTCTTCAATTTGATTAGTCTAATTCATATAGGTGGAAGAAAAACTCGAGTCCGGACAAGGGAAAACAGCCGTCCGCCGATTCTTTTCTAGGTTCTGTACCCCTATATTCTTGGAGGTATGTTTAGTGCAATGGTGCTATGATATTGTTTGGTTGTTTACTTCTTATTTGGACATCAATTTATATAAGATGAATGTAAGTTTAGGAATTAAAAAAATCCAGGTTCAAATCCAAGGAGGAATAAAAATTCCCTTGTGGCCACGGAGGTTCAAATGTGGTGACTCCGGGCTACCCGCAAAGCAGGTGGTCGCCCTGAGATTAGTCGGCTCGCATAGTGGGTTGGATGTGCAGGTTAATCAAAAAAAAAGTTTAGGAATCATGTTTTATCACAATAGTTTAGCTATACGCCACAGTTTTGAAAATGGTGCCTCTTGGGACTTGCTACTCTGTGTGTTACCTGTTTTGTTGTTCTCTGTTTAGGTCATGACACTTGGTGATGTTTTTGGTACTTATTTAAGTGTCAGAAATTTATCTTTTGGTGTAACATGGTGAACTATATGTTGTTTCATTGCCCTATAGACTGCATGCTGTCACAGAACACTTGCTTTCTGATGTCACAACTCATCTCCAACAAGAGTTTATCAAAATTAGTTTGGTAGAATAATAATCTTAGTCGGTCATACTGTTGTGAAACTGATATTTAAGATTTGTATCAGCTGTGTTATAGTAATTTATCTGCAATGATCTGTCTTTGAAACAAATATTTTTCCTTGTTAGAATCTCCTGTTGCCTAGGTGCTCAAATGAATGGAATCAATGAATCCAACTTAAATCACCTTGATAGCTATGCACAGAAGTGCTCCCGGGGAGAGGGGGCACAATGTGGTTTTGACAGTCGCGGTGATTGAAAAATGGTGGCAATAGAGTAGTTCAGAACTGATTATCGATCCTGATGTACTTTTATATCTTGATGACGGGTCAGATTCATTAAAATTAAACCAAATGAACCCAGTAAATCTCCCACAGAGTAAGGTTTGGCCAGGGTAAGATGTACACAAACCTCACCTCTAACACGAGGAGTAGAGAGGCTGCCTCCGTAAAGACTCCTCACTTGTGTAAGGTTATGAAAAAATGATTTGTGAATTTTTCTTTGTTGTGAAAGTTCGACATAAGTTTGATGGAAAAGGAAGAGATGCAAAAAGACAGAAAGAAGTGGCATTTAGAAGAGTTGAAAAAAGAAACAAGAACAAATAATTAAGCATGCAGGGACATTAAATGCATACGGAAAGGGACGGGAACCACTAAACTTACTAAAGATTTCTATCCATCCTAAGCAATGAAACCTCCCGCCCACCCTCTACCTCTCCACCCCTCCCCTATCCCCAAAAATCAAGGGGGCAGATCTTTGTACCCGGCAATGTAGACATGAACCCAAAATCAAAAACTAGTTTACGTTGCTTTACACACCCTATCATTGTTAATTTTTTTTATTCAGTGTGCTAGTTAATTTTATTTGGTACTTCTCCATATAGTTTATAGTCTACATGATTATTGCTCGATCCGTGATGGACTGATTCTTTTGTGATTACACTGTATCTGCAGTCATTTATTTTGACTTTTTTAGCAGAGTGGGGGGATCGGAGCCAGATAGCGACGATAGCTGTAAGATTTTTGTTCTCTCCTTCTGATGCTTCTGTGCTGTTTCATCTGAAACTATTTTTTGTGATATAATTTAGTTCTCCTCTATACAGCTTGGTTGGCTTGCTACTAAACGACCAAAAACCTACAATTTTGAGTTTTTGATATACAATTTAACAATGCAAACGCTTTTAATCAGCATCTTCAAGTAGAGCAAAGGTCCCCTTCTGTTACAAACCCAATAAATTGTACAAACCAATTTTCATGTCAATACGTGTGAAAATGTAGTGTTTATACAATGTTGTTTCATATGTGAAGGTCACAAAACAATGCTGAACATTTAGTATATGAAAAAACACCATATAAGCATTGCATTTTCACATGTATTGTTTCATATGTTAAACAGCACATGATAACAAGCGTGTAAGTTTATACAATTTATTGGGTTTGTAATTGATTATGCGTCTATATATATATAGTTGGCCTCTGGCTGATGTGGAACTCGAAGTTGTATTTACTTCCGAGTCCCCATATTTTTGTGGCAGCTAGCAACACATAAAAATGCAGTGGGGGTTGCCATTGGGGCTACACTCGGTCACACTATTTGTACATCGGTTGCAGTGATTGGGGGAAGCATGCTTGCTTCCAAGATCTCACAACGCACGGTTGCAACAGTCGGAGGTTTGCTATTCCTTGGCTTTTCTGTTTCGTCCTACTTCTATCCTCCTCTATAACCACCCATGCCCAAAATCCATCATTTAGGACCAGCAGTTTGTCAATATGTTATCTCCGAAACTGTAACAACCATAGTTTTCCTTTCTTGTATGTAAACTATACTTTGATGGCTTTTCTGCCCAACCAACGACAATGGTGTCGATATTCTTTCTTGGTAGCATTTATAAATTATGCACAAAATCATTTTTACTTTTGGAATCAGTAAGGAATTCAAGCCTTCACTTATTCATATATATATTTTCTGGATATCAATCTCCTTGCCTGCAGTGATCTTTCACTGAAACAGTCTATACTTCTTGGGTAGAGGAAAAGTTTGTGTTGGTTTGATATGGTTTATTGAGGAAACATGAATTAAACACTTTTGGACTTTCGATTACAAGGCCTATCTTATCCCTCTCCTCTTGTCCATCGATCACATTTTTAGTGGATTATAGATCGTAGACATTGATTACTCATCAACCATCTTATAGTTGGGGTAATCAATGTTCTTATCCGGTGTCAACTTAATATACTTGTCTTTCTTATGTTCTTGTTACATTTTGGAGCTGATTGGTTATTGCTTACGAATCTTGTCGGCCTTCCACCCACCTCCCCACCTTGCAACATTGTTGCACGTCTATCTAGTACACATTCAATCGAGGTACTTCCTTCTCCTTGTGATTGCCGCACGTATCAAACTGTGCCGAACATGCATCAAAGACTATCGATACTGCATTAAGCTGTCTTTGTATGTTAAATCCCCAAACACCTGGTAAACTTTTCACAGGACCGAGGTCCTCCAATGTTCAGGGGAGTAAGAAGATCAACTACTTTTTCGTCGCCAAGAGCATGTATACAACTTGTCGCTTATGTATCAAAACACTATTGACCTCCATCAATGTTGCATCTTAATTATTAATAGGTTTGCCTTACTATTTGACGTTAGAATTAATCAAAATGGAGACAAGTTAACTTAAATATGTTTGCATGACTAATTTTTCCTTTTATCGTTTGACTTTCATCTCGTTGTTTCTTATTAAATACGTTTTTGATGTATTCTTTTGTCCTTAACCACCAATCATATTTGTAACATGGAAAAGAAATGTAACAATTAGGGGGGCATTTGGTTCATTGGAATCCACCGGAATCTGATGAAATTGAAATGGTTAATTCCGTTAACCGAATTCCATTCCAACGTTTGGTTACACTTGAAATGAAATTGAATTCCAAAACTTCCCAAATTTGAGGAATTCACCAATCCTTACTAAATCTGATGGAATTGAAATCCATTCCATCTAAAAGAGTCTAAATGACATAAATACCCTCATTACACTATAAACCCTAGTCGCTTCATCAAAGAATCGATGCTGTCATCCAAGACTTCGAATTGCTACCAAAATCATCGCACAAACTGCTTTTGACAAACACTGCTTTCAGGTATCGAATGAACTGCTTTCGATTACTGTTTGCTTCTTTCGATTTCTGTTTGCTTCTTTCGAACTCTGTTTGCTTTCAGGCTTTGAATTCTGTTACTTCTTTCTGATTTTTGTTTGCTTCAAACCTATTTCTGATTTCTGATTACTGGTTGCTTCAATTTCTAACTATTGTTTCCTACTGGTTGCTTCCGAATGTATAAAGGGATAACTACTGTTTGGTACCTGCTACCGCAAGAAATTTATGTTATTGTCTGCTACTTTCTGATTTTTGTTTGCTTCAATTCCATGACAACCTTTCTGATGATCAAGATGACGCCTCTCATGCACACACAAATGTGCAAAGTCAAAAGTGTACAAGTGGTAGCAATAAAAGGAAAAAGATGAATGATTCTTTGCATGAGGTAATCAACAATGCCACATTTACGCTTGGTGACAAACTTATGAAAGCATCGACATCGTTAATGGAAGTTGAGGTGGAAATGCTAAAAAAATTCCATGATTGCCGATGAGCTTGAGAAGTTCGGGACATTTTCAGAAACTAAAATGTTTTGTTTACTGGAGGAAAAACGTGAAAACTGGGCACATTTCATGTTGGACCAATGATCAGTTGATGATAAAAACAATATCTTTTGGTTACGTTAGACTAATGATCAATTGGTGGTAAAAACAATATTTTTTGGTTACGTTAGACCAATGATCAGTCTGTATTGTTTGGACAATATTTTTGTTACATATTGCTTGGATGCTATGGTTCGACAACTTCTACCTATGTGTAAACACTTGTTGGTAATAATATTTATATATGGGTATTTGATGTGTCAACTTGTAATTGTATTAACGGTTTGGTTTATAGTTGCTTGAATTTTTTACACGTTTTATGTTTATATATGATTCAATAAATAGTAAACATTTTTTCCTCATTAAATGTTAACTTTATTCTTATTTGTAATTAAAAAAAATTAAAAATATCAAAGAAAGGGTATTTTGTCTTTTTTTCATCATTTCATTTCAATTATGTTACTGTTAGAACCCAGATACTCTTAATTATCAGAAAACACAGTTTAAATAAGAATATGATTGAAATACAAATAGTGATCTGAATTGATCAAACGAGATATTCAATAGAAATAAGAACAGTAAGAGAGTTTGAATAAGTCGGATGCTTTTATTAGATGAAAATAAGAATTCTCAATCTAAACGTATTCTCACAAGAACTTTGGTATAGTATAAGTCGACACTCTCAGGTAATTTGAACCTGAGGAGGAAGCCTCCTTATATACGCCTAAGTTAAACAAACTATGCTATAATTATGGCTTGAAACTCTGGGTTGTTGAGTCCGCATCCTTATTGTTGACTACCCTTGAAAAGTGGAGCGGACCAAGTCAAGCCGCCTTGATTCTATTTGACGCTTGCGAGAATGTCTGGACTAAACGCGCGTTCCATGGAGGTAGGAGACCAGACGCTCTGCATGTACTATATAGAGGCTCTGCATGTACTATTCAGAGGCTCTGTGTCTGGAATGTAGCTTTGCATCAAACACTTAAGCTTTTTGGGCTTAAGGCTTGATCGTCCACAGAGAATGAGCGCATGCTCTGTATGTAAGATACTTCACTCTTTCAGTAAGAGCTCTGGTTCTTGACTTCTTCTGCATGAGAGCTCTTAGTCCAGACTGCTTCTAAAGACTAAGTCATATGGACTAGAGTAAGAGGCTTCTTACTTACACTTTCACAAGATGAGGTTTAACAATCTCCCCCTAAGTGTAACTAAGAAAGACTTTTACTAGAATTGAAAAACACAAGTCTAGTCGAAGCCAGAGGTTGAAAGAAACCCCTGTGTTACATTTTCTATCTAGGTACAATACGAAGAAAGGAATATACATTGCTTGAAAAGATAGAAAAAAAAATGCTTACAAGAGAAAGGCCTAGATGTGTTGAAGCTTGTGGAACCTCCTAAGAAGCTCTCGAAACTCCAACAAGTTATTGATTGACCTTAGGATTATCTTTGTTCTTTCCTTTGCTCCAGGGGTGTTATCTCTGCACCAGAGTAAATGATCTCTGATGTAGCGTAGAGTGGAGTTTGAGTATTTTAAGCGCTGGTCTTCTCGAAAGAAAATTTTTCTTCCTTGCTCGTTTTGAAAGACCACCCCTACTTCTGGTTCCACCAACACGGTCCACGAGGGAATGTTCTTTATGCCTTGCAGATCTTCATTTGGCACAGTAACACTCAACTGATCAATTCCCATGTCCAGAGCTAATTGGAAAGTAAACTTGCATCTGAAGTCTTGGAGATCCGTCATCGTCTGCTTGATTGCTGAGTTAGCCAGAGCATACTTTATCCCCTTGTCCTTTTTATGATCCGTGAAGTAGTACAGAGACAAAAGGTCCCATGGATTCAGATTTATGAGATCACAATCTGTGAAAGTGCTAATATGTCCACGAGACCTCTCAACCATGTATTCATGAAAAATGATTTGATAATGCGCGAAGGTTCGTTTCTTGATGTCAAGGACTTGTTGATGCCATCGACTGAATGTACTGTTGAGATAGGCTGTGTATATCGTTGTAAGAACCTCTACCTAATGTTCTCTTGAGCCGTTGGATGGAGGTTGATCTTGATGACTGGTGTCTCATCCCGCAGGCTGTAGAGGAATTGGTAGAGGTCTTCACTATCTGCAGTGTCCTTGATAGGCTTGTCATGGGGTGTGGGCCTCATCATTGCATCCATACTATCCCTGATCTGTTGTACTCAATCAGAGGATCGTTTGGAGCTCTAAGGCCTACTGCTTGTGCCTGCAACTAGCTGTCGCGAATTGACGGGAACCTCCTTCCTCATAGCAGGTGTGACAACCCTGGTCCCTTGAATAGGGACCTTAGCTCTGTGCGTGTTCCTGTGAGGTGGTGGAGCAGCAATTGTCACTTCTTCAAGTGAGACAACCATTGGAATAGCCGTTTGTAGCTCTAGGTCGGCTACATTGACTGCCACCACTTCTTCTTCATCACGCCTCCTTGTTGATAGAGCAGCAGTCTCCATGTTGTATTTTGTGGAGGATGACAGAGGCTCTTCTGATTCGGATGAAGAGACGCATACAGATAAGAGTTGAATCACATCCTCTTCATCCTTCTTTTTCCCTTTTGGCTCTGCTGTGGATGCTGCGGGCATCTTCCCTTTTCTTAGAGCCTCTGCATATGCTTGCGCATCTTGTGATCTCTGTCTTGACGATGTTGGTTCTTGTTGGCATGGACCAGAGGTAGAGGGGGCATCCCTTGGAATTGTGTGGCGGCTGTTGGTTGGTTCTCCCCCTCTTGACGACTTTGAGGGCTATACATATCTGGGTCCTCATCGTCGTCAAGCCTCCTCTTCTTCGAGGTCTCTACACATGCATTTGGTTCCATCCTCCTCTTTGGCCTCTGTACGTCCGCTGGTGGTATAACCTTGATTTTTGCCTCAAAAAGCTCAACGATTTCGTCTGCTGCGATTGTGGCTTTGAGGATCTCTTGGTTTGTGCGGTAAACAAAGGCTGCCAATGAACGACGTATTTATGCTGCTGCCTCCTTGGCCTTGCTATTGAAATCAGATGTGAAGTTGGCCACTTTTTGGAGGAGACGGTCACCCAGAGCATTCATGGCAGACTGGGTGACATAGTCGACGGGGACATTTAGAGGAATGAGCGCCTGTGTGTCTTGAGATGAAGTGGAAGCTCCATCCCTCTGAATGTATGCAATAACCCTTTGCAAGGTCTGTGCATTGTTGGCTGTCAATTCTTGTAATTGAACGAGGCGAGAGGC